GTAAAAGATGTTTCAAATTTTGATGCTGTAAATTCACAAAAAATTCTAGGTTGAAAGTGAAATATATACTTGAAATTAGGAGGTGGCTTATAGCTGTGATCAGCCTTCGAAACACGTTTTTTCAAATTTCAATTTCTCTTCGAACAAAACCAATGAAATTGGGAGCCGTTCTGGAATGTGATACAGATTGGTGCACACAGAATAGTGTTTTTTCAGACAAGTTTATTTAAGACAGGGCGAATTACCGTGATTTTTTAGGTGGCTTTGTAGTTATGACCAGCACTGTACCTTACAAATTCAAAATACTTGTCAGAGGTAATAAGCACACTGCGCAAACATGCATGTTTCCTACTGAATTGCTTAAAAGGAGTCCCCTCGTTCTCATGCTCTGTTAGAAGCGAAAGTGTTTCCAAAAACATCTTGCCACCCATGTTTTTGCAAACACAGTTGACTTTTCGTTTGCCTGACCTGAATTCATGATGAGTCATAGAGAGCAACAAACTTATCACTCAAAGAACACGATCAAATCTTCCCCTGTAACCACCCCTCAAACTCAAGAATCGCATATTTCGTAAAACTCTTTGATCAAGAATTGTCGCAGTTGAAACCTACAAGGTCGTTTTCAGGAAGCATTCTGCTGTTCCTGTTGCCATTCTGGAAAGGTAATTTTTAGTTAATATCTGACCTCGCTTGAGTATACCTCACGATTATCCAATTCGTTGACATTGTTGTTTTGCGGTTTGGCTGAACTCGGAAACCTGAGATGTGCAACGATATCGCTGTTATATTCCGGTTGCACAAGTTTTGTATATGTAAAGAAATTTACATGGCAAACCAGTTTCGATGTTTGTCATGGAAAAATTTATAACGCATTTCTTGCTGCCGCAGGAATTCCTTCGCAGATTCTTCTACGAATTGTTGCTGATCGTATACTGTCTGGAAAATCAAAGTGTGCAGAATTCTTCGAACATGCGATAGGTAGTCATAAAATTGTACCTTACTCCCTTTTTTGCGTTGCTTCTCAAAGTCTTTTTCCTGTTTCTGGTATCTTGCATACATATCCTTCACCTTTTCCTTGTCCTCGTTGCTATATCCCGTCGTCTTCGCAACGATAGAGGTAAATTCAGCAATCTAGAAACTTTGTGCGATCAGTATATGTTTCCAAGCAAAGTAGATCCAACCCAAATTGCAATAGTCTTTTACATACATGTTCGCAGGGTAAATTGCAATGATAGACTTACATCTACATAATCAAGAAAACCTCACAAATTTTCTCTGTTGGTTCAGCTTTTCACCGTACTCAGTCAAAAGCGCTTCCAAATCCTCTCCGTACTTTTTCGCTCCAGGAAAAGCTTTAGATGCTGACTCAGCGAGTGTCTTGAGTGTGTTCACGTACTGATCCGAACACTTCTGGACAGCTAAAAAAGCAGTTGGACGAACATAACAAACAGCTATGTCTGGGATTGCTCATTGTTTACACAAGAACATCTATTTGGGCGTTGCTTTGTCATGAAAAGATAACGAGTGCATCCATACTACTTTATTTATGATTAAGCGGAAGGTTATGAGTAGGCGCCATTTACAGTGGGCTCCCAATCTATCATTTAGCAGTGAGATCATATTAGTCAGGGTCTTTGAATAAGGATGTAAGCTTAATTATGATGAGGCGCCTTTGATGCACTCTTCAAATGTTTCAAATCGAACGTCGAGGTGATAGGTAAAGAGTGGTATGGATAGCCAGTATACAGTGTATTAGGTGGCTTTCTACTGAAATAACAAAGAAAGGGCGTTTGATATTGATAAAAAAGTAGTCGAATCTCCGTGGAGGCAGCCCACTCAGCAAAATAGGAGTGCTCACCCTGATACGCCTTAAGCAGCTCGTTCCCTGCTTTTGAAACTTCCCTTGTAGCTGAAAGTATGTAATTTTGCTCAAAGATAGTAACATTCTCTGCGCAAACCAGGAACGAAGCCGCTCATCAGCTGGGTGTAGACGTCTCGTGGCACTTTCTCCTTTGCACTCTCCGAAAGCTCGTCAAGAATCGAGCGAGTAGCTTCAGACAGAGTACTTCGGGCGGCCATGACCCTAAATTCGTGATCATACGCCCCAACGATTACCAGGCGAGTTTGAGAAAAAGTTCGTAAAAGACTTGAAGTTTCATGTACAGCTGACTAGGTTACGCAGTACTGTACTCAAACAAGAAGCTCTTGGATCGCAATAACAAAAATGTACAGTTTCTCAGCAGAAAGAAGAAATCTCGAAAAACCGAAGATCATTAATTAGTTGTCATGATTGCGTAAAGAATCTCTCAGCATAG